AGTATTGTCCTTAAATTTTATTTTTTATTTTTTATTTTATTAATAGTGTATTAAGCTCTTTTTTGAGTTTTGTGGGCCTAGGCCCACACTGGTCTCTATGTAGCTACGCCCCTGTCCAAAACTTCATTCTACTTCTACATTCATAAACCTCCAATAAAAATATACCTTACAAACTTTATTTTTTTTGAGTCCTACATGTTTTCCACTAATTTTTAGTTAATATTATACTCTTATATTTTCTTATAAAAATAAGTCCAAGTAGCAAATAAAAAAAAAAATGTTGGGGGATTGATTGCAGCCACCACAAGAGTTTATGAGAGGTTTGAATTTGCAAACCACATGAACATAAACCTTAAAGGTGTATTTGTTTATAAATTATTTCAACTCAATCTCAATTCATACTCTAAATCCTTTAACTTAATCTCACTATCTTTAATATTATCAACATAATTAAATAATACTAACGAATCATTCTTACACGTCACATAACTTTAATTCACTCACATAATTTTAACTAACGATTATTTAACATCATTTGTTTCATAGTTTTACATCAAATTACTTTTAACTATTTTATTTTAAAAATTTATTTAATATAAACTCAAAATTTCACTAACACTTAACCATATTAATTACTTTAAAATTAATTGTGATTAACTAAAAAAACTTAGTTTAAACTGATATCTATACTTATATTAAAGGGGGTCCTATTTACCAAATTAAGTAGCCAGAAAAGTCAACAGCATTTATTGCATTACTATTTTCGTATTATACAATCTATACTTATATAAAATGAGATTCTATTTACTATATTTACTATCCAGAAAAGTCAACTGCATTAAATGCCATTACTATTTTGGTATTATAATATTTTATTTATTTAATTGATTTAATTATTTATTTTATTTTAAAATGATAAGTATAATAAAAAGATTTTAATAATAAAAAAATCAAATACCAAAAAAAAAAAAATGTACACTTTGACTTATTTGATTATATTTGGTATTTGATTATACCAAATATATTCCTATTTAGTATATACATTAAATACTTACTAAAGCATTTAGTTATTTTATTTGTCAAAGTTAAGTATAGATTTTTTTATATTATCAAATCATAAAAAAATATTAAATCCATATTGTAAAAAAAAAGTTCATATAATTTTATAACAATTCTACTACACTATTTAACAATATTCCTTTTTTATTATATAATAAAATAAGAATTAAATATTATATGGTGAACAACAATAAGTAAAACTGTTACTTTCTCTTATATCAAGGGATAAATTTATATGCTAAAATTAAATTTTTATTAGTATAAATGTTTTAGTGAGATAATATATTAATTATTTTACAAACTAACCATAACATGCTCATATTTAATGTTTTAAAAGATGCAGAAAAAAACTTATAATAACTCTATTGGTTTTTAGACTTAAACGTTGATTAAAAGAGGTAAAAATTACTAATTTTTTAGACTTAAACGTTGATTAACACCATAGATTGAGAGTTTATATTTAGTAAAATTCCTAATTGTAATAAAATAAAAAATTAATTTTTGCTATATTTTAGAATATCTTTAAATTCATTATAAATAAAAAGAAAAAAAAAACTACAATGAAAAAAGCAAGTCAGCTATATATCGATTTGTTGTACTCCTCAAATCACATTCACAATTTGACCTTGAGGAAAGGAAATTCATTGATTAAAATATTATTTTGTCAGTAGTCTTAATGTACAAGAGACTTTAAGACTCCACTTGAATATTATAAAACTTTTATTGAACATTCTACAATTTTCTTGCGTATTATAAATTTTTATTGAATAGTGCATCTTATAATATAATATTCTCCAAATAAGTATATCCCGTGCGAATGTCACGTACTATATATATCCCGTACATTTTTCTTTATTCATATATATAATTATAAACCTGGATAAATAGCCTTAAAATTGTACAAACTCCATGCATCACACGGATTCTGTAGTATTAGTTGTATACAAGCACACCATAAATCTTACCTATTTAATAGTAAAACGTACGTTTTTGAAAGAATAATTACAACAAAAAAGCCCCAAATAGCTGCTCGTCGAAGAAGAAAACCTAAGCCCCAAATCCGCCGCTCGTCCTAGCTGCTCCGGCGTTTGCCTTCCTCGGCGAAATCGTGGCTTCGACCGGCGGTAGCCCTCGGCGGCTCGCTCCTCATCCCTGATTCTACGCGTCTCTGGCGGCAGGCGGCTTTTCCGTTCGGGATGGCTGGAACTCCGGTGGTCGTCTCCTTCTCCGGTCGCGACGGTGGCCATTGCAGCGGTCTCCCTCGGCGGCTACTCTCGGTGGCCGATGAGGTGGTCCTCCCTCCTCAGTTCGCTCAGGTGGCGGCTTGGTGGTCGGACTCCCCTTCTCCCGGCGAGGTGACGCAGTTCCGGTGGACAACCTCCTGGAGATGCCGAGCTGTCGGAGGACGGGTGAATTGGAGAGAGCGGCGAGGCTCAGGCTACTCGTGGCGTTCGCGCTGGGTTGTTTGAGCGGGGGGGCGACTTTCTTTCTCTCCCCGGTTCTTCGTTGGGTTCGGGGGAGCCGGCGCTGCGGTACTCGGCTAGTGGTGTTAGGCGGGTGGTGCGGTGTTGGTAACGGCTAGTGGTGTTAGCTGTTGAGGAATGTCGACTCTCTCTGGCTGGGGACGGGTCGTTATTGGTGTTTGGTTCTGGATTTGGCATCTGCTTCAGATAGGCATTAGGCAGTGTAGGTTGCAGGTACCGGGCCTTCGAATCTCTCCCTGATTTTGACCGTTCATCTGCTGGTCTGGCTTGATCTTTCTGCCGAGGAAGGGCTTTATTGTTGATTTTTAGGTGTTTTGTTCTAGAGTTTTCTATGTGGTTTGTCCGTATTCTGTGTTGTTGGCTCTTTGGTTGTGTCTGTGTCTTGTATTTTTGGTTTGGGCCCTTGGCCCCTGTGAGCCCGAGTGTCAATTTGATTTCCCTGTTGGGGCCAGATGCTCGGGTATTACCCTGTTGGGGTCTCTGTGTTTTTTTAGTATTTTAGTGTTTTAGTCGTGTTCTTGAGTTTTACCCTTGTGGGGTCGGTTCTAGGCGGTCCTTTGGACGCGTCCTCCCACTTTTTCAGCTGTTGGCTGCGTGTATTCAGCTGTTGGCTGTCTGTATTCAGCTGGTGGCTGCCTTGTATTTTGATTGTTTTTATAATATCTCTATCGTTTTGGCCAAAAAAAAAAAAATAGTAAAACGTACGGGAGTGTTTGTAAACTTTGAGAAAATCCATTTTTGAAGTTGTCCTTAAGTAAATCAAATGAGAAACGAAAATTGTAAAGAATTACGTGGGGCATAGCTATATATAATATGGCGTGCAAAAGTGAAATCAATTATAGGAAGATAGTATCTGTCCTGTCAGAGATAAGAATCTTTGAATTGAATGAGAATATTGAATATGTGGGTGAATCTAAGCATGTCCAAAATTTTGATAATAATTAATTATTGCACTAGAAGGAATCGGCCTCAACACAAAGTATATAATAGCTGACATTTCCCCACAAAAAGGAGCTTCCATAAAAATCAGAAAAGTTGTTCCAGTTCAGATGAGACTGATGAAGAATTGTGTATCTTGACTCGATTTATGAATAAACGCGTACTAATAGCCTTCGCTTAGACACGATAAATTGTGACTAAAGGCTCTCTAAGGCCTTCTTTCGAACACGATTGTGTCCCGCACTCACGGCCTAATTCTAAACACGAGAGAAATTGCCCAAGTTGGACGTTTTCTTATTAATTCTTGAATGATAAATTGAATGATAATGACAAGTATTTATAGATGCTACTTAAGTCTAATCTTACAAAAACTAGAATTCTAAACTATGGAAATAATATAAAATCCTAAGGCAATTAAATATCAAGAATCCTAAGACTGCAAAATAATTAAGTAGGTACATGCCTTTATTCAAATTCTTACTAGACTAGGAAAGAGAAATAAATCGGCCATCATCTTCTAGATAGATCTCGGCCTTGCTTGGGTCGCACATCTTCTAGAAGCCTTGCTCCCCAAGCGTATCTCTGTCATGCGCTATTCCTCGACCAACGAGGCTTCTCGAATTGTCGTGCATATCCTCGCATCTTGCACGTGCTCGACCCAGCGAGCGTCGACCACACATTCGACCCGCACTCTGCTTTGCTCGCTGCTCGATCCTCATGGTCAGTCCTCGTGCGCTCAGCCCTCTTGTCGTGGTCGACCCTCGCGCGCTCGACCCTCTTGTCGTGGTCAACCCTCGCGTGCTCGACCCTATCGCCGTGGTCGACCCTCGCATGGCGTTCGACCTTATTGAGCTCGACGCCGCGTTTTGTATTTGACCCGTTTGACAGAAGGTCGAAGATCATACCTTCGTCAGACTCCAAGCTCGGGCGCGTCCCCTAGCGCCTGCATGAGCCTCTCTCGCGCGTCGTCCATTGCTTGTACGAGCTCCTCTTCCACTATCTCATCGGTCATCCCATCCACTCTTATGTCCTATTTCTCGGTTCAAGAGTCTTGGTTAGAAAAAAGAAATTCTCGTATCTACTTTTCTAACTAGCCACACTGCTAGAATCATATTCTTTGATGAGATAGACTTTCCATCCCAGAAGGATTCTTTCTTCTCTAGGGCTTTGGAAATCCCGAGGTCGGTATTCCGTCCTCCTGACCTCATATGCCACGTGTGCTACCCTCAGGTCGTCCAAACCTCCTTGCATTGCCAACCTCAGCAGCCTACTATCATAAGGTATATATTCTAGATGTTCTAGCTCTTTATGTTTCCTGACCCCCAAGCTACCAATTCTGTCGAACTTCTTTTAGTGTTTGCCAATTCTCTGAACTGGTTATTTGACTTGTTTCATCATGCCCTGTTCAACGAGCTACTTTAGGTGTTAAAGCACAAATGAACCGCATAATTAACAGTTATGCAATGCTTTGTCGCATATATACCACAAAGCATATCCAAATCAGATGCATAGTTGACAACTATGCAAAAAAAAAAAAAAAATTATTTGCATGTTTAATTTTCATATTCAAATCGAACGTCGCATATTCTATAATTATGCAAAAAAAATTCACATAGTTTACATATCGCATATCGAGATCTATAACGCAATATAGGTAAAAATTATGCGTAATATTTTTTGCATATTCCAGAATCGCATATCTAAATTGAAAACCGTATAATTTACGTCTATCCACCATTTCATCGAAGATCCATATCACGATACACATCTGAACATAATGTTTCGCATATGTTTTGTATATTTTATGCTTTACATTGATTGTATCATTTTTTACGTAATGACTTAAGACAAATGCCATGTACCTATTCATTAGTTGAGTTGATGTATATACACCATAATTATTACTAATATTTGTACGGTTTAAATGCTAACCTTTAAGAGATTTTTTTTTTTTTCATACATTTTTCGGCGTAGCCATAACCCTGAAAAGTTTCAAATTTATTATACAAAAGGAGAACGACGGTAAGGCATTTTTCATTCGATACGATTTCTCTTGGTATCGTGAGTGTTAGGAGGATTTTGTCGAGCGCACTGCGGCGGCGATCGCCTTGGGGGGCCTGGTGCTTCGGTTGACAACCCAATCTAGGGGGACGACATAGATGGTGATGAAAATGACGATGGCGGTGATGATAAGAACTATCCGCCGCCACCAAAGGTGGAAGTCGTCAATCTTGACCTTTAGTATCCACCAAAATAAATTGTAAAAACCACATGTAATCAATTATGTTGTTTCTATGGGAATGGGAAGGGTCACAGTCCCCGCATTCTCACAGTCATCCGAATCGCTTGACTATTGGACCAAATATGATGAATTTTCAAACTTATTGTACTAAGTTTGATGTCTGACAAATGTTCGATTTTTCCTGAAAAATGGTCAATATAATGGACCAAAAATGAGTCATCGTCACCTGAAAATTAATTGGCTTGAAAAATAACGTGAAAAATACTAATCATGACACGTAGGCAAATTATTCGGATCGCCTGATTATTGAACTAAATATGATGAATTTTTCAGCTTATTGTACTAAGTTTGATGTCTGCCGAAATGTTGGATCTTTTCCAGAAAATGGTCAATATAATGGATCAAAAATAAAATTTTGTCGAATTTACGGAGTGACGATATCATCTAGACATTTCGATTGATGGGACCTGACAAGGTGTCAGTGATTTAAATTTCAAAATTCAAAACAAGGACCAAGAGGGAGACCGAAAAAATGCGAAAAGATAAGTTTGTAGATGTGTTAGGGTACAACCAAGTTGGGGGAATTGCAGGAAGATAGGTCCAAAAACAGAAAGCCAAAATTTATCAACTAAAACCAAGGACAATTTATTCCAACTCGACTAGGGGGAGGAGGTAGGACCAGTTGATATGGAATACTAGATCTTGGTAGAATAGACCCAATGAACTGACCGACCAAGCCAAGTGAACTGGTTGGTCGAACAAGACAGTAAGAATGTCGTCGGTGGTTAAGCACCGTCAACACAGGTCCTGTCCAGGAGTCTTCAGATAGATGACAAATCTTGAGCAGTAAGAGGTAAAAGATCTTATTCATCAAGAAATAATGTTTAGCAAGAGAAGGTACTTAGAAATGTGATAACTCGCTTAAGGGGTGATGTATGACTAAAATGCTTCTTCACACTCTGTACTCTAATCATTAATTACCATATTTCTAGATCTAAAAAGCTGACATGAGTGTCGGAGCACATGAGTGTAGGAGTAATCACGCCGGGAACCCTCTCGACCTTTGTTTTGCAGGAAATTAGCTTCACTCTGGCGGTCGGAGTACTACAGTTGTCGGTTTGCATACATGCGTCTTCAACCTCTGCACACCTCTGCACATCAGAAATATATTTTAAAAGAACGGGAATTATTTTTCACATTGGCCCGGGCAGGATTGGTTGTGGTACCACTACCACCAAAAGAAATTAAAAGGAAAGCACATACCAATGAAGTATATGTGTTTTTTTCATAAGAAAGTATAAATGTCCAACAGTAGGAGAAGAAAAATGAAAGAAAATCAGAAAAGTGAAAGAAAAAACAAATAAATTATGCATTCAATGTAAGAAAGTATGATTGTCAATGCTGAGGAAAGAGCAAAAGCATCGTTCATGGCAATGAAAAATCTTTTTCCCCAAGCTCATAATTAGAAGCGCACAAAACACTTTCTATACACAAGATGTTAACGTCTGAGAGTAGAAGATGCAAAGCCAAAATTGAAAACAGAATCTGATCTTTACACCTGAAAAGCGCATAGGGAAACAAACACTAGTTACAAGAGAGGACACACATCACACATCACACCACATATCATATAGTTTTGAGTCATTCAATTCAATCAACTGTGAAATCGGGCTCCGGAGGCTTCTGCAGCTTAACCAACTCCCTCGTGCTCTTCAGGTTCCTGTTCCTGTGGACCCCACGCAAGGCGTTTGCAGCAAACCTCGACACCAGGAAAGTGGCCCCTATACTATACGACCCCGCACCAGCAACAGCTAATTCCTCCTCCTTCCTTCTAAGCTTTCTCTTGGAATAGCGGCGCCAGGCGGCCTGGATGAAGCAGGCGGCCCAAGTGCGCCACTGCTGAGAGTAGAATCGGAAAGTGTGCTGCACTTGGCGGCTGTGGAGTCGCCGGAATTGGCCGGCCACGAACTTGAGCTCGTCGGCCGACAGGGCAAAGGCCTCGACCTCCGAGAGCGCGTGCACAGTGCGAGTTGAGGAAGGGAGGTTTGAGGCCGACTTTGGGTCGAGGGCCCAAGTCAAGAGTTCTTCCCCGCAAAAGTCGCCTTCCTTTAAGAGGCTTCGGTTGAAGAATCCGCTTCGGCCGCCGTCGGTGGTGACGCTCTCGAGACGGCCGCGGATGAGGAAAATCATCTCGTCCACAGGGTCGCCCTCGCGCACGATGTAGCTGCTCTCTGTGTAAAGGCACGGCTTTAGACGCTCGCAGATCGCGTCTAGAAGCCGCTCGTCCATCTTCTCAAACAGCGGCACCTGCACCAGATAATTACGAGTTAATTTTTGTAATCCCCCTTAACATATAATTCCCGACCGAATGTGCTGAGCTTAAGTGGCAGACTCGCAAGCTTCAGGATCCTATGTGACAAAATTACATGGCTTGAATAAATTTTAATTTAATTACTATCCAAAAATAATTAGGTTTGAATTATCCATAAATTATTTATGTTGGTTGGTTATTTATGGTCCTTTTACATGTATTAATTGTATTTAATATCATTTCTTATTATAACATTGCAAATATATTTTAAAAGTTAATAACTTGTGTATTTTTTTTACAGTTTTACATACATAATATATCAAATTAACAATCTCTCCATGAGCTTCAATTTGACATATAACATAAATAAATTATATTGATCTTTATAATAATAATAAAATTATTCATTAATATTAATTAGAAAAATAAAATTATTTACCAATTAATATATTTATGTTTAAAATAGTTACATGGTATAAGTTAGAAATATCATTATTAATATAACCCATGTAAGTCGCACAAGTAACAAGTGTCATTCTAAAATATATAATATTATATATTTTTTTATTTTTCTTGCAAAAGAGTATTTAAATTTTAAAGTACTTTTTTCTATTAATTTAAAATATAAGAATAATTTTTTTAATAAGCAGCCGTGTAATATACGAGTGTTGTACTAGTTTTCTTTAAAGGCCAAAAGGAAGCTTACCCTCTTCACCAAACCCAGACAAAGATGACGTTTGATGTCTCGTCTGAGATCTTTGGGCAGACTCTGGACAAGACTCTCTTCATCGACCCCACGAGTCTCCAGCCATTTGTATTGATCATAACGCCTCACTCGCTCCCTCAGATCGGGCGGCAGAAGGCGATGATGCATCCATTGCTCTGAGTCGCGCCTTTTCACCCTCATCTCTTCCAGTCGAATAGTAAGTGATTGCAGGTATGTCTGAGGAAAAGAAAGAGATTATAAAATGAAGTGCTTATATCATCAAGTAAATAATAATAACAATAATAAAGAATGAAAGTGAAAAAATAAATACAAGGTAACAAGCCAAAATATAGAAGATGCTAACGAGTGACAATGTGATAGCTGCATTATTGTTACCTGCATATTCCCAATCAACAGTGCAAAGAGAATGAGTCCGAAAATAGCAAGAGCTATGCTGAATAAAGACTCCCCAGGATAAGTGCTCGTTTCAAGGCCTTGTCCAAGTGTGCTGAAGTAACAAAGATGACGAATATCAAGTCAGTATCATATCTTTTTCATGTTACTAGTAAAGTGCACGTGCGATGCACGTGTTACATAATTTATATTTTAGTGTGATTTTAAATTATATTTTCTCTTGTATATGTTTATGGTCTATTCATTTTTATTTTTTTTATTTTTTGCATTATTATTTTCAGATAATCAGACATTCTAGTTTCACAACTTTTGGATTTCTTGCTTCTGACAAACGCAACAAAGAGGGCTTTGTTTATGGTCCTACCACTTTCACATCACCAAAGCCTAGAGACAATCATACGAACAAGAATATTAATAGATCAAGAATGTTAATCGACATTAGGATGCACCCAAAAAAAAAAAAAGAATTGGAAGAACACGAGTAAGATTTACTAAGCATGATAAATGTAACTAATATACGAAAAATAAGTTTGATTACCTCAAGTTCTGCAGGCCCCACCACAGACAGTAGCAGTACTTGGACAAGAACTTCCTTGATGAAACTATCCCGGATGCTAAAGCCTGCCTGAAGATTCCAAAATCAAATGGCGGATTGTTCTCATCATCCACAGGACAAGCTGAGCTTAAAACAGATTCACTAATGTTGCTCCAGGTATTGTAACCATTCATCCTTTGATTTCCACAGTACAAGAAATCTGTGACACAACTCCCACTGTGCTTACAAGCCCTCTGCCAGCATGTGTCATTACGTTCTACAGACAACAAGTACCAGAGGGCCCCAACTATCTGGAAAAAGAAAGGGAAGACAAAAACATGGCGCATTATGAAATATGTATTCATGAAATGGCAGTACCATCACATTCAATAGAACAATGTAAATTTATTGATGCAAAATGGGTGATAAATGGCCACATTAGCTGAAATCCAGCAAAGGCAACTGGATGAAATTTTGATAATATAATGTAAAAGAGAAAATAATAATTCTTTTTTTTTTTTCCCTCAAAGTTGGAAGGATCGTTTCAATAGAAGCTTACGTGGCTAGCAAGCATGTATAACAGCAAATAAGAAACTGCACCGGCCCAAGCAGTTTCAGCAAAGACACCAGAAGTTCTTTTCAGTTCTGAAGTTAGTGGCAAAATTCGGGCAAATCTGGGAATGTACTGAAGCAAAATAATAAAAAATAGTGCTTGCTTTGTAGTCAGTACATCTGAGCCTTTTGACCTCTGTAGAAATCTCCACACAACAATCTGTAGATTCAAAAAGATGCAAAAAATAAGGTAAACAAGAAAAGGCCCAAAGATATCTAGAAATCAGGGAATTCACTGGTGATGTGATTACTCATTTTACTATGGTCATAGACATATGACAGATAGTTTATAGTCAACAAACAAATCGAAGATACATCTGTATCAATTAGTACGTTTCTACAAGCACATCCAGAAGAGCACACAGAAAAACTAGAGCATGGCCATTACATTACAAAAGGAACTAAGTCCAAAGATAATAAACACAGAAAGGAACATAGTTGTAACAGTAAGATTTATCAATTGAAGAAATAAGGAAACACACTTTGTTGGACAAACAATGAAACAAGACATAAATGAAAAAAAGATGAAAGACTAAAGTATAGAAGAAGTCTTAAAGGCAGTAAAAATATCTGTGCAATTCTATAGCTCAGGAAATGCAGAGTGCATAGTTCATATATACTACAGCAAGCTCCATGCTTAAGTACAATTAGGAACCGAAATGAGAAA